GTCAAGCTGTGGGCTGGCCAAACTTGTCAGAAATGGGTATAAAGTAGGAAAGACTGAGTGGACATGAGGGGTTCTACTGAGAGTAAAAAGCATTTATTTTTTAACTGCTAGGAGGCTGTTGATTCGTTAACTTGCTGATTCTTAGAGGGGTGTAGATGATTCAGAATACGAAGTAGATAAATTCTGGCTAAGTGATTTTTTTAAAACTGTGATTAGGAATTCCAATAGCACAAAACGCTCATTCTTGTATTTTCTTCCTTGTTATTTTCTATTAACAAAGGAGAATAAACTTCCATATTATACAGTTTGGGAAGTTTTTTTGAGGAAGCTGAGGGAGTCATTTATTAGGAAACTCATTAATGAGAAAGACAATAAATAAATGAAACAAAAATATAACTATGGGTTATTATAGAAAATATATATTATTTATATGTAACTTAATATAGTTTATATAATATAGTTTATATTCATATATTACATAATATTATATTGTATATATTACATATAATAGGTACTATTATATGTACTATAGAAATGTACGTAGGCAGACCTCAGAGATACTGCAGGTTCCATTCCAGACCACCGTAATAACACAAATATTGTGATAAAGTGAGTCACACACAATTTTTAGTTTCCCAGTGCATATAAAAGTTATGTTTACACTATACTGTGGTCTACTAAGTGTGTAATAGCATTATGTCTGAAAAATAATGTATATTTCTTTAATTTTTAATTAAAATACTTTATTGCTAAATAATGCTAACCATCATCTGAGTCTATAGTGAGTTGTAATCTTTATCTTGATAGAGAGCCTTGCCTCGATGATGATGGCTGTTGACTGATCAGGGTGACAGTTGCTGAAGGTTGAGGTGGCTGTAGCAATTTCTTAAAATAAGATAACACTGAAGATTGCTATATTGATTGGCTCTTTCTTTCACAAACGATTTCTCTGTGACATGCGGTGATGTTTGACGGCATTTTACCATCAGTAAGAGCTTCTTTCAAAATTGAAGTCAGTCTTTTCAAACCTTGCTTCTGCATCATTAACTAAGTTTATGTAATATTCTAAATCTTTTGTTGTCACTTCAACAATTTCATAGCATCTTCACCAGGAGTAGATTCCATGTCAAGAAACCATTTCTTTGCTCATCCATAAGAAGTAACTCCTCATCTGTTCAAGTTTTATCATGAGATTGAAGCAATTCAGTCACATCTTCAAGCTCCAATCTTGCTTCTGGCTGTCTTGCTATTTCTACCACATCTGCAGTTACTTACAGACAGCACTGAAGGCTTGAACCCCTCAAAGTCATCCATGAGGGTCCAAATCAACTTCTTCCAAACTCCTGTTAGTGTTGATGTTTTGACCTCCTCCCATGAATCATGAATGTTCTTAATGACATATAAAATGGTGAACTCTTTCCAAAAGGTTTCCAATTCACTTTTCCCAGCTTCATCAGAGGAGTCACTATCTACGGCAGCTATAGCCTTACAAAATGTATTTATTTTATTTTAGATTTTTTTTTGGGGGTGGGATTGGGAAGATGGGAACAGTGCTGGAGAATTGGGGCAAGGGGAACAGACAAGTGGCTGTTGTTTTGTTCTTCAATCTAGTTGTGGAGGACGTTGCTTCACTGGCCCAAGTTGGCAACATCACTGTGCTCTTCCCAGGCGAGGCAGATCAATCGCCGACTTCTGGACAGCCGCTCACTGCGGCTGCTGGCTGCTCACGCTGGCTGCTGGCTACACACAGTAGCCCATGGCAACCCACTGCCACAGGGGCTGCAGCCTACGCCGTTG